TGTTAAGAGTTGCGCATCTCCATTGCATCACGCTTCAGACCTGACTAAATAATTAATCTGTATTTATGCATTTTTAAGTTTTTTATCCACGTAAAGAGTTGTTTAAAAATGTTATAATACCTACTTCGAAAATACCTGTAAACTTTACTATGGTGATTGCTTAAACATTTAATTCTTTGATGAAGAAAACTGAAGTGTAACTATTGCATTTCCGTCCAAAGATTGCCTAAAATTTTTTTGACGCCGGAATTTTGAATGATTCGTAAAAAATAGTTTTATAAGCCATACGATATGTTGGCTGCCTTCACTTAGATTGACTGAACCGAGCAACTCGCTAAAAATACTTAATTAAAACGATAATTTCATAAACATTGGAACCGCGCGCTTTTGACGCAATGTGTTACGTGCCCGCTATCTCGGATGGCCGGAACAGCCAGCACTGCAACCTCTGTTATGTCATCAAACTGGCCGGCAAAATGTCGACGCAAGGTACAGAACGACCTTCGCACCAAATTGTTTTTCTTTTTATTCTGCGTATAAATAATATATGACCTTCGTATTTTTATTGCAGAATCAAGACATTTCTTTTGGTATAGGTACCTCTTATTTTGGAACTGAATAGACATTTCATGCGAATTTAAATTTCGAATGAAATTGGTTTATGTTCCAAATTAGATTCCCAAATATTTTAGGCTTTCCCATTTTGTCCTTTTTACCTTTAAATGTAATAATTTGGTTAGATTTTATTTTACGCTTGGTCAAAACTTCTTTTTCCAGAAACCGGAAGATGGAACATGTTATAAAATATAATTGCTTGCTAAATTAGGTTGGTGGCCTCTAAGCGGACTAATATGGGGACCTGTTTCATCTGCTCTTTGCAAAGGACATATTAAAATATTAACATGATTATGAATTTATTATGTAAAGACTAAAGAATTGCGCAACATTAACGAACGGTTTTGATTTAAAGAGGTTCTTTTTCTTGATTATTTATGTGATATTGTTCCAAAGACTCATTCGGCGGCCAAAAAATTTTAATAATATTAATCTAGTAAAAAATAAAGTTCGTACGTATAGTAAAGACAGCCACAAGACCAGTAACCTATAAGGGAGAATGAGGCACATCAGCACATTTTTCATATTTGGACGCCTAAAAAGTGAACTAAGAGAAATTAAAAAAATATATTTTTCTTAGCTTACTCCTTTGTTAATATAAAAATAATGAAATGTTTAAATTTGCTGAAAACGTTAAAGAGAAATAATGTGTTTTTTTTTTTAATCACAAATTTGTTTAAATATGCCTCCCCATGGGGGCACATTTGAATCGACATGGGAAAGTTTTGAACAATGGGTTAAAAACCAGAAAAAAGAGACGATGGAGTAATAATTTGTCTTTAATAAAATTATGTTTATTGTTATTAAAATAAACTTATACGAAACTTCTAAAATTACATCTTGCATTCCATTAACAAAAATAATTGTGTAGGATTTCCTCCTTGTTGCACAAGAGTTTTAGTTTATTGTTATTACTAGTAAAGACTGCTTCAGACGCAAAATTAAACATAAAATAAACTAAATATCAAACGTGTAAGAAAACATAAAATGTTTGTATTTGGGCATCCCGTTTAAATCACCCCGTTTTATTTGATCAAATCTGCCCCACGGTCACTTGGAAGATAAAATATTACAAAAAAATAATGTGAAATAACTGGCAAGCAAAAACTACAAGGTGGTTTGAAAACTAATAAGTACTGCACAATTTTGTGAAAGGTTTCCTTCCCACTTTACTCACGTGGTAGTAAATCCCTTACAATATTTATATTTATTTTTTACTTCACCGGTACAAATACGACGACAGGTTATAAATCTTTTTGAAAACGAAACGCGCGCGCTTTTTTACTTGACGTTTATCAAAGCCAGTGCTGCAAATATTAAAATGTAGTTGCGGCATATATATATTAACATAAAGTTACGTTCAGAAACCAACATGTTCAAATCTGCCCCTGTGCTAAGGTGCCTCCTTCTCCCCTATCTATCAAATTTATCTATATGGTTTTGGGTTTTATTGCTGTTTGACATGCGATTCATAATTCAGAGAGAAGCCCTTAGAGTATTTATAGGAATCATGAAGACAAATCTCATAAATGCTATGCAAGTAAAATGCTGTGACCGTCCTTTAGTATTTTGACTGCAATTCACCGACAAGTTCTTCGTTCGTACTGTTCAATGTTCGAATTCGACAAGTTCTTCATTCGTACATGAACAGTACGTATATTCGTTTGTATATTCTAATCATTCTTCAACAAAAATTTATCAATCTTTTAGTTACCTACTAGACCAATAAATCTCTAACATGGCTTCTGGTTAGTTACAGAAGATTTGTCTCTCTTTCTGCCCTCACTTACAGTTCAATTACCTCCCTATATTTTATTTTTTTTACCATTTCCCAAAACTTTTTCCATTTGAAACTTTAACTTATCATCCTGTCGTGCATTATGATTTAAGTAATTGATAAATATGATTTAAACGCTAAATTAAAATTATTAACATGTAATTAATGTATATAAATAATGTATAGAATATAGACAAATATAGCTACACTTCTACATCATCCGTGTATAAAGTATTATAACTTTCCTTATGATCAATAATATATATATAACTATAAAGGGAAATATTAAATTTTATTTATAAATTGACTTTTACAATTCTGATCCTTTCCAAATTTCGTCTTATTTCCGATTTCACGGATTTTTACCGTTTCTTTAATTTTTAAAATGACATTGGCAAAATGTACGGACTGCGCCTGCATTAAAAAAGGATATGTGTATACTTCTATCAGATTCAAAAGTAGCCAATAGCTTTGTACCTATAAATGTATTAGATGAGATTGTATCCAAAAAAATGTTTCACAAAAGTCTCCGGATGATTTTATTTCTGAGCGTTACTTATTGGCACAAACTGTGGCAATGCCAGTACTATTATCTATGGGTTAGTTAACCTTAAACGTTCGTTAACAATATACAAAAAAATGATTTGTGATACTGAACATGTTTATACACGATCCTAAACACGAACAAAGGATCGGAATTATTTTGTTTAATGAATAATATAAATATACATTACTTAGGTACTACTTATGTTACTATAACTACTCTACTGATATATAATAGTGACTGGTTACGATTACTAAGTAGGCGTGACTAATAATCCGTTGGGAAAACCCAGAAATTTTAACAGATTGTATTCCGATACGGAAACTGAATATTCAAAAATCCTGTCTTCTATTCAGGGTAATATCTATTACTATACTATTACCCTATTACTATTTACTTTTTCAACTGAATAAAGTTTACTAAAAATAAGCACGAAATTTTATCATTTAATCAATTTGTATTTCCAATAATGGGCAGTCTTATCGCGATAAGAGTGATCTGTTCCAGACAACTTTAGTAAGAATGAAGAGGATAAGAAAAAGCTGTAAAGACAGTGGTGTAATTAATACAAAACAGTAGTAACTTCATACCCGTTAAAAAGTGTTTCATTATATACACGTCTCCAGTACTTATTCTATTAACAACGATCAGTATCATTTCCTCTCAGGAAATTACTTGCAATTCGGATCACGCGAAAACTCGTGATGTTTTAATTATTGTAAAGACAACTGAACTTCCTGATACATTGCGATATGCAATATGTCATTTTCTGCCAATTGCACCAATTATAAACCCCTCGTGCAGTCGATATGAACTCGTGTGTTGTTCTGAACACTGAGCAAGTAATCACTTGTGAATGTCAATGACACTTAGGACCTAGAAAGGACATTGTTCTGCGTCCATAGATAGTTAGCCTAAGAACCAACAATCATGAAATATTATTTTCTAGGTTCGAAATCGCAAGTAAATGACTGTGAAAACAAAGATTATTGACTGATACTGCTGAGAACTTAAATTATTAGGAAAACTATTTTTTTTTGAGGTTATGTTTAATATTCAATGAAACATAGGGCAACCTATGAACTCAGTATGAAGTGAATTAATATTACAACTAAGTAATTCATTTTATTCGGTGCGATTTTAAAGAATAACTATTAGAAAAAACTTGGTTAGGTAGGAATCATGAATAAAATAAAAACTGTATTTTTTATTCTTATTATTTATTGACTATTTTTCACATAATCTTATCATATTGTATACTGTATTTATTTGTTTAACACATGGATATTGTGCTAATATGCAGCGTGAATGTGTATCAGGTGCTCTTGAATAATTTGGCAGTATGATCCTCTCAGGATGTTGTGGCACAGGTTCACTAGCACTTGGTAATAAGGTTTCTGCTCTTTGATAACATCGATGGCATATTAGATAGCCGAAATAGCAATAGTTCATTAAAGGAAAAACAATCGCAAATAAACACACACAACAGGTAATCCGAAACGAGAATTTTCCGTATATAAAAAGTACTCTTTGACGAGAATGCACGAATGCCACAGATTACTACGAATGCAAACTGCCTGCACCACAACCACAGAGTATCGAGTTTATGCCAGCCCTTCACTTGACAACAGTTTGTCCTCGTCATGCTTAATAAGGAATGAAAAGGACAGACTGATGTCATGTTTTTAAATAGCTAATACGCACAGCCAAGTGTAGTGCCGGCATTGGGAAGAAAGAGTGTTTTTTTTGCAGCGCTGTCATAGATTATACACATAAAATGGTATTTATTGTCTCAGATTATTTATTAACTTTTTAATTTAGCTTACTTCACTGGAAGTGTCCGTCACAATCTAAATACTGATAATTATCGCAAAAAATATACTAAGAATTATCATAGATGCCAAATTTGTGTTGGTTCTTAGGCCAATTTTAACACTGTCCTTTTAGGTTTAGAGAATCATGCCAGAATCGACACCATTTTCCTACTTAAACAAACAAGTACCTACTTTTACCTTTTACACAATAATATAAATGCATAACATTTTATAATTAACTTGTTTACAGATAAAATGGCCGCCAACTAGCAAGTAATCTTCACACAATGGCGGCGCGTCCGGCCGCGGTGGTTGTGGAACGGGCGTGCAAGCACTATGGGCGCCCAGACAAGCCGGACTACAAACCTGTACTCGCACATTTAAACATGACTGTTGAAAGGGGGATCATGTAAGAAAAACTCAAACATTGTACACGTTTAGTACACATTTTGACGCTGCCTGTGACCCAAACGAGGTAAACAAGAGAGAACAAAGCCTAATGGGTCCTTACAGTCTCCGCTTCAATCATAACTCTTGTTATGCGCATTCACCGATTTTTACGGCTACGACACAATGAAAATAAACATGAAGAAGAAAAAGCACTTCTCGACTTTCGTGTGTTCATTTGAGACCTTTTGCCTAAAATCAATTGACGGGTTTTGGAACTGGTAGCAGTGTTTTATTATTATTACTAGCTTTTGCCCGCGACTTCGTCCGCGTTATCGTCGTTTTTCGTAAAAAAGTAGCAATGTCCTTCTTCAGGGTTCGTGTTTATGTCGCTTTAAGCCCGGCAAAAAATCCTTTACTTATCTCGGTACTTACTTTACTTCATTCTACGTGCTTTACGAGCTTATACTTACTTACGATTTTACAAGTTTACGAGTTTCATAGCCTTCAAACTTCAAACAACAATATTTTTTTCTTTCATTAAACTTTGATTTACACACACACTATACTTAGATGGAATGTTCCAAAATCCTTTCTTATTGATATTGGTAATTTATTGGCTAACGATTATATTGAATTAGTATTGTCCTAATGGAATTTAAATTCAAACTCACATCAAGAGAAAGACGATCACGAGAAGTTTATAAAAGGATATACGTTAATAATGACGCTGTTAAACATATTAGTACCTACATACGGTTGAATAATGGAGAAACCCTTAGGTCATACCTAAGATGATAAAATATTGGGATGGGTATATTTATTTGATATAGGTAAATGATTTACCACACATTAGTGTGTTTAGAAAAATAGCAGACACGAACAAACTATACTTTAAAAGCAACAGGGCAACATAGCTTAATTCCTTAATTTTCAGAATTACCCCGATTTTCACAAAATTAGCAGCCTCTTATTTGGGAGAAAGGTCCTAATTTAGCAAAGCGATCTCTGATTTGCCAGATATTCTTTTAAGTTTCAAAACTTTCACTGATATTTCGCATTATACCCTAATTTTTGTAGCTACCTTATTTTTTTTTAACATAGGTACCTGAAACAAACCACAAAGATCCTTTAAATAAAGTGAGAGAAAAAACTTATCGTCATAGACCTGATCGATATCGATTTGAAACAATTCTGTGATTTTCTGGAATAATCTATATTTTCGCTGGTTGTCCGAATGCTCTTGTTTCTACGGAACGATCTCTCATTTCACCTTTCTATTCTACATATAGATAACGCTGACTAGTGTCTGGATTTACTAAATATAGCTACATAATCAAATTACAGCACAACACGTATTGTTTCCTTATTATAATCTTAAAAGAGCGAGTTGACCAAATAGTAAATGACCTGTGTTGTCTCATTTCAAACTAAGACGTGCGACTTGGGTAAATAGAACATAATGTAATGTAAATGTGGCTAATAAAATATAAACTGTAACTCTGATAAACTAATAACCCTCATTTTCGTACAGATATGGACTCCTCGGACCTTCGGGATGCGGTAAAACAACCCTACTGTCTTGCATAGTCGGGAGAAGATCACTGGACAGCGGCAACGTGTGGGTGTTGGGAGGCAGGCCAGGGGAGAAAGGGAGCGGAGTTCCTGGCCCGAGGGTAGGATACATGCCACAGGTAAATTATGATCTAAAATTATCAAAGTGGACTTATTAAAGAGAAAACGGTAATTTTAACCCACCACGCGAACCCAGTGCTGATTGATAAATTCAGTACAAGTTGCAATAGGCAGGAATCAAAAGTGCTTTCGATGCACGCAGGATACTTACTCATAGTTAGGAAACCCTTGCATTAATTTACGATTACATCAAATGGTATATTTATTCAAAATGCTCATTAATCAGTTTTAAACGACTAACAAAGCACTCAATTCAGGATAAAACAGCACCATTGACCTCTTACAAATCATGTTTTGGAAAAGTTTACCTAGTTTACTTGTTTACTATTCTGTGCTTAGGTATAGTTAGGAAAATCCTTGCATTAATTATGTTTATAATAAACAGAGTCTTTATTAAAAATAGTCATTAATCGCTTTTAAACGACTTACAAAGTGCTTTATTCATATTCTTACTTTATACGATACGATACCCACTTAACATTTCCGGGAGCATTTCCAAGTTCCGTGCGTCACAAGTCACACTATTGTACTAGACAATGCTATCAGCAATCAGTCGTCACAATTTATGCTGTATCCGGTGGTTTGAGGCACGGAATAAATACTAACTTATTGACTTGATGTAATATCTTCTCCTGATTAGTAGGCAACTTACTCTTTTTTGATATCCAGGTCTCGTTTTTTATATTGAAAGGGTGGCAAAGAAGCGTATATCCCGCCTGATGGTAAACATCCAACCTGACAGCTTACCGACATAAACACAACACCACCAAAAATTAGTGTTATTTTACTGTGATCTTCTGTAAACTTACTTTTTACATATACTTCAACATCTAAAGAAATATTTTGTTAGTTTATGTTAGAGATGGTGAATTATTGTATTTTTTTAATTGAGCAGAGAAGGTAGGCAGGTATTTACATACATATCTCGTGAAACGGTGCGTTCCACAGTAAGAATTCTTGTACCAACCCAAAATATTATAATCTTTTATTTAAATGTGTCTGCCTCTCGGTAATCAAACCACTTTCCGGCTTCCGATTGAGCTTTCTACATCAGATGACAATGCAATATTTATAAAGCATGAAGCATATCTGAAAACAACGCTTACAACTATATCGTTTTGAGGTTTGTTTGTTGTCTTTGTACGTTTCTATACATGTGCTACAGTACAGTCAGTTAAAAGTTTGTTTTTTTGCAGGACATAGCACTTGTAGGCGAGTTCACAGTGAGGGACGCGTTATATTACTTCGGTAGGATATACGGAATGAAGAGTGGGAGACTCAAGGAGAGGTTCGACTTCCTCTCTTCTCTTCTGGAGCTGCCGAGTGAAGGGCGACTGGTCAAGTCGTTATCTGGCGGCCAGCAGAGGAGGGTATCCTTGGCAGCTGCGCTGGTACACGAGCCTGAGCTGCTGATCTTAGACGAACCAACCGTTGGCCTGGACCCTGTGCTCAGAGAACGGTAAGTAATGATGGAAGACAGATATGGAATTAAGAATTGCCGGCTCTAGGAGTGGTTCGACTTCCTCTCTTCTCTCCTGGAGCTGCCGAGTGAAGAGCAACTGATCAAGTCATTATCTGGCGACCAACAGATCAGGGAGTTCTTGGCAGCTGCGCTGGTACACGAACCTGAGCTGCTGCTCTTGCACGAACCAACCGTTGGCATTGACGTTGTGCTCAGAAAAAGGTAAGTGGTGATGAAAGAGAGATTAGGAATTTTATCTGGCGACCAACAGATCAGGGAGTTCTTGGCAGCTGCACTGGTACACGAACCTAAACCTGATCTTGCACGAACCAACCGTTGCCCTGGACCTTGTGCTCAGAGAATGGTAAGTGGTGATGAAAGAGAGTTTTAATATAAAGCAATGTATCAGACTGACCTTCGCAATAATTTTGTAATTAACAATAAAACAAATATATCTACGTACATTCAGGTCAACTTCTATGTATCTAAATCTATACATTTATAGTATAGATTTAGACATATAAAATAAGAGAGTATAGAAGGTAATCTCTTAAATTATGTACTTCACTTTACCTACCTATTGTCAACTTTGGGTTATGCACAAAAAACTATCGTGGAAGTGGCACTCATCATCAGCCTATTAATGGCACTCGTATCGTAACTAGTTATTTGATTAATTGTCGAGAATGAAACAGAAAGTATGAAAATATAAACTAATAATAACTATTTAAATTCTAAAATTAGTGTTATATTATAATTCAAACAAATAAAATATCGACAATTCACCTTTTAATGTTGTATTAAAACAAACGTCTGCTAAACAGCTTTAAAAACTTTTATTGTTGCTACATTTTTGCACGAAAAGTTCAGAGCATGGCTCATGCGTTAAGTCGCGCCTGCGGTAGTCCCAACTGGTTCAAGATATCGTGTCCGTGAGCGGTGTCTATGTGTGCATTGCTCGAGCGCACATTGATGTAGATTACCTTCTGTACTATCTATTTTGTGGTACTATCTTCTAAATATACATTAAGAAAAACACCAAAATGCATTCTCCAGCAAACGAAAGTAAATAGATAAGAACATTACATTAATTATTTTGAATCTCTATCTACTTTGTCTGAAAATTTTACTCTTCGGTCACAATAACACCTTCCAAAACAAATTAGCACAGAGCCACCAAAGTACTTTTAATTTGATTGTTTAAAACTTAACCTTGATTTCATTCACAATAACACTCATATCAAACAATCCTGACCCCTTTTTGTATTTGCAAGAAGTGCGATGGTTGTTAAATAAATATTATTTTTCCTCTGTAAACACTGCCTTCGCTTGCAAATAAAACCGCACCAATTTGGCCTTTAAAAAATCTTATATCTTTTCTTAAAAATGATTTTAATGAATTAATAAACTCTTTCAAGTGATTATTAAAGTATTTATCGAAAAAAAAATAGTAAGTAAAGCTGTCATTACCTATAACGGTAACCCTTTCACGCAGAACTTTAAATGTCATAACATAATAATCATATCAGCGGATGGCATGGCACCTACTTCATTTCGTAGAACAACATTTGGCATTCGCTCATTTATCAGACAATCAAAACTCATTGTTTTGTAAGCCAGGATCACTCTTAAGCATAATACCCAATTCGAGTGGAAAATCCGCTTTGCAAGTTTATATCTTTTTAATAAGTTGAGAGATACTTACTTGAACATACCGGGATCATACGAATTATGGCTTTAAAAATAATAAATAAGTCTTAGGCACTTTGGCAATAGTCTCAAACTAGTCAAGATAGTTATACTATGGGCACTAGATAACGTACCATTATCAGCCTATTAATGTCCCCACTGCTGGGAGACAGGCCTTCCCTATGGATAGACTAGGGAGATTGGGCCATGAACCATCACACGGGACCAGTGCAGATTGGTGGGTGATAACTACTGCAGATGCAGCCCGGACCAACGGCTTAACGTGCTCGATATAGTAAATTTTGTTCACCCATCCAATGACCGATCACTGCGAAAGTTGCTTAACCTCAACAATCGCAGCCGAATGCGCCAACCACTTGCGCCATCGAACTTCTCAGATAATGTATAAACATACATAAATACATAAAAATCCATAGCAGGTATTAAAACGTACTAGTATTTATTATTCAAACAGTTGTCCCCTCCGGGCATTGAACCCAGGACAAATAGATTCGCAGTTAGGAACATTAACCGCTAGGCCTTCAAAATCAATTACCCGAACTTTTAAGTAAGATAACATCAATCAAAATGCAAACTAAATTGCCACATCTGGACCTGTCACAAACAGTGTCGGTCGGAGACTTGAGAAACCGTTATATTTTTTGCCTATACCATTCCACAATTGACATGATTCACGTAGAATAAGCAATATCAGATCGAGCAGCGCTTGCGAAAAGCATTAACCGCGTTCTGTTTTACTATTCCGAACATAATTATACTTATCTATATATAAAAAAACGAGCGAGCCTTACAGTAGTCGCGTATTATGTGTAACATTTGAAACCTCACCTTAAATTAGTAAAAAAAGAAATATAACTCCTACAAAAGGAATAAGCCATTTAAGAAAATGTTCTAAAATCAAATCGAAAAGCGCCCGCTTTCGCGACTTCCTGTTACACACTTCCGTCCCATTTCACGAAATCACTCCCACAAATTCACAGAAACATTATTCAAAACAGGAAAGCGAGAGGAAAGATGTTACACATCCAAAAAAGATTTCTAGGGCGATGTGTTACCATTGAACAACAATGGAAAACTCCTTGATTGTTGTCTAATTAGATAAAGCAGTGTACGTACATACAGCCACGCGTTATTTTACCACAAACTGTCAAGATTTTGGGTATTCAGTATTTTCGTCGCTATAAATATTTACGATAGCACAAAGATGCTTGACCAGATTTATCGTGACAATCCAAATCTTCGCATTATTAAATAAAGGTTTGATAAGTCTAACACAAAAGGGATTATTGGAACGAAGTTCCTTACGGCAGGCTTGGAGGGGATAGGGATTTTGCTGCGCGACCGAACTGAAAAAAATGTGATAGTAAAACCGTAAGAAAAAATCCATGGAAAAAAGTGCGTGGAATAAAACCGTTAAATGAGACGTGCGCAAGCGCGACACGAAGTTCCTTACGGCAGGCTTGGAGGGGATAGGGATTTTGCTGCGCGACCGAACTGAAAAAAATGTGATAGTAAAAACGTAAGAAAAAATCCGTGGAAAAAAGTGCGTGGAATAAAACCGTTAAATGAGACGTGCGCAGGCGCGACAGTCGCATACACAAGCGAGTTTGCAATTTGTGTCGATTCTACATTAGCCGAAGGAACTTCGTTTCTACCTGGTGTCCCACGACACCACATCATTTTTATATTTACTCCGTGGTTTCGTCTGAGAGAAATATTAGAAAACCTGTTTTGATTTAATTGAACAATCGTGCATTGAATAGAACAGCCGTAAAAACATTTGCGCCGTTGATTAAGATGAGAATAGCTTGATGTTCCGTCCTACTAAGCAACTTAATTATTGAATATAACCATCATACTACATAACATCACATTGGTTGAATCTCTTACTGAATTTTAAATTGATATCATCGAATCTGGCTGTTAAATATTTTATATTTTTAGAAGGCGCTGCAAAATCCTTTAATCCTTTAATCCCATCTGCTGTTCCAGTTTTGGAACCAACCCTTCATTGCGTGTACAGCTTATGTCAAAGGACAAAGTTAAATTTGGCCTAAGAACCAACACCAATTTGGCATTTATGATAATTCTTAGTATATTTTTTGCGATAATTATCAGTATTTACATTAAGACGGACACTTCCAGTTAAGTAAGCTATATTAAAAAGTTAAAAATTATCTGAGACTACCATTTTGTGTATAATCTATGACAGCGCTGCAAACAAATCACTCTTTCTTCCTAATGCCGGCACTTCACTTGGCTATTTGTGTTTGCTTTTTGAAAACTTGACATCAGTCTGTCCCTTTTATTCCTTATTAAGCATGACAAGGACAGACTGTTGTCAAGTGAAGGGCCGGCATAAACTGCCGTATATTATTATTGTGGTGCAGGCGGTTTGCATTCGTAGTAATCTGTGGCATTCTCGTTTCGGATTACTTGTTGTGTGTCTTTATTTGCGATTGTTTTTCCTTTAATTTAACTATTTCGGCTATCTAAATGCCATCGATGTTACCAAATAACAGAGACCTCATTTTCAAGTGCTAGAGAACCTGTACCACAACATCATGAGAGGATCATACTGCCAAATTATTCAAAAGCACCTGATACACATTGATGCTGCATATTTACACAATATACCGACATGTGATGTATATAAATATGCAATATGATACAATTATGTGAAAAATAGTCAAAATATAAGAAGCAAAACTACAGTTTTTATTTTATTCATGATTCCTACCTAACCAAGTTTTTCCTAATAGTTATTTTTTAAAATCGCACCGAATAACAATGAATTGGTTGTAATATTAATTCAATTCATACTAAGTTCATGGGTTGACCTATGTTTCATTTAATATTAAACATAACCTCAAAAAATATTTAGTTTTCCTGATAATTTAGGTTCCCAGAAGTGTCTGTCAATAATCTTTCTTTTTACAGTCATTTTCTTGCAATTTCGAACCTAGAAAATAATATTTCATGATTGTTGGTTCTTAGGATAACAATGTATGGACGCAGAACAATGTCCTTTGGTTTTTTCATACATATTTTAAGTATCAAAATGTTTGTAGAAATTAATGTTGCACCCGTAGAGTAGGCACGGAAGTAAAACAGCTGTCCGCTTATTAAAAAACGAAGAATAAGCTTAGATTAGTTACTTCGTGTTTTGTCTCTGTTCATTGAATGACAAATGGCATTTGAGTGATATGAACAAACCACGGCGTAACTAGCCTATGCATATTCCTCGTTTAATAATAAGAGGGTTTGAGTATAAGGCAATGTTATGTTATTAATAAAGACACAGTATACGATATTTGTACACCTGTCTATGGAGGTACGTACCTTCTACTACTTGTGGATTTTCAAAAACTTTGGGATTATGTAAGTGACATTCCCAATAAGATAATGACTTTACCAACCACACGTTCCCAGTGCGGATTTGTGAGTGGTAACATCTAAAAATACAGCCGGTACTTACGAACGGCTAACGGTACCTTCTGAAGCACGGGGGAGCTCGATCTCGAACACCAATTTTTTTGTCACCCATCCTATATCAGACCATTGCGAAAGTTGCTTAACTTCCCCAAGGCGCTTATCACGGCGCCATCGAGCTGCTAATAAATAAACTGTAAACAGTTTCAACTAACCAATTAATTATAGTAAATGACTAACATTATACTAAGACGTTAACGTTTCATCAGCGCTTCTAGTAATTCAAGATGTTTCACCAATTCCATTGTTATAGGTATTTGAATAACGCAATGATAATATTATTTTTGTAATTACGTCCGTGTTTTTCACAATGCAATCATGTCGCGGCTGTTGCGCCATCTCAACGTTGAACAATTAAACACGCACATAAACTCTAACGTCCTAACCTAGGATATTTTATTTTTAAGGTTCCGTATCCAAAGGATCGCAACAGAACCTAAGCGGAGAAAACTCTATAATTACCCTATTTGTCCCTCAATTCTCTACCTACTATAAAAATTAATCACTATGTATGTGTGTCTCTTACTGACGCCATAATTTGAAAATGACTTTACAGATTTTATCCATATTTTTCTACTTATGAAGCTTTGTAAGACTTTGTAGAAATATCTTACTCAAAAAAAACAGAAAATTGCGCAGAACATTGTTAAAAAAGGGGCCAAGTGCGAGTCGGGCTCGCCCATGAAGGGTTCCGAAGCAGTAAGTAACATAATATAAAAATTCTTTTAGTTCGTTGTAACTTTGATCGATATTTTAATAATAGGTAGTGTATTTTTTTTAAAATTGATTTTTGATTTATAATGTATTAAAAAAAACTACTTAATAGATCACATTCAAACCAATTTTCAGTGAAAGTTTGGGTGATAATGTACATCATATATTATTTTTAGTTTTATCATTCTCTTATTTCATTATACAGGGGCACACATTTTTCCACTTTGGAAGTGTCGCTCGCTAATACTATTCAGTTTAGAAACCTCAACATCATTTTTGAAGATAAAAAATTAATAATAATGAAAAGTTTGATGATTTTTTTTTATTTTCAGTTCTATTTATGGGGAAGTGCCAAAATTATTGTTTTTATATCTTTTTTTGTGTGAAAATCTTAATGCGGTTGACAGAATACATCTACTTACCAAGTTCAACAGTATAATTCTTATAGTTTCGGATAAAAGTGGCTGTGACGGACGGACAGATAGACAGACATGACGAATCCATAAGAGTTCTGTTTTAACAGCTTGCTGATCTACCCGATAGGTGGCAGGCACGTTTAAGGCTTTTTTTTCGGCCAAAACAACGGCTGTCGGGTCCGCAATTTGTTGTGTAGCTAATAATGAAGACTAAAAAATTTTTTAAAAGAATCAGCTATAACTAATATTATAAAGGCGAAAGTTTGTGAGTGTGCATGTTTGTTACTTCTTCACGTCTAAACGGCTGGAGCGATTTTAATAAAATTTGGTATGAAATTAGCTGACACCCTGGATTAACACATAGGCTACGTTTTACTGCGGGAAAACTAGAAACCGCGGGTAACACCGCGGGGCAAAAATTACCAGTTTAGTGTTAAAGAAGAATCCGACATAAAATAGAAGTTAAAGTGTAAATTGTTTTCTTTTTAGGATTTGGGAGTTTCTGTCCGTACTGGCGCGAGGCGGCACAACGGTCATCATCACTACACATTATATTGATGAAACGAAACAAGCACACAAGGTAAATTAAACATTATCTACGCGACTGCATTCTACTTATACTCGATTATATGCTTATATGCTTTATACTCGATTCTTGAGTAATTTCTGGGAATCGGATAAAAGAATACTATAACTAGTACAGTCAATCTGTAGGTTGAGTGGTGAAAAAAAAACCTAAAGGGTAAGTCTTGTTTTTTCTGTTGCCAAATGACGTCAGTAAGCCACCTTGGCGATGGGCATGTTCAACTCGTAGGCGTTTTTGAAAAACTCAAAAAAACCGTCAAAAATTTTTTGAAACGCATTTTTCTTGTTTTGTGTGCATTTTAGAAACTTTTTTTTCGACCATAATTGTAGAGGGCGTTGAGTGCTACAATTTATGACATTTTTGCAATCTCGTACAACAAAAAATGCTCATTGTAGGTGGCGCTAAAGTCTCAAAAAAGTGCTTTTCACTTTTTCACCCTGAAAATATCATTTTAATGGAAAACTTTAAATGGCAAAGTTGTTTCGTACATAATTACCAACAACTTTTGTATAAACAATTTTATTGTATTACTTACCGTTTTCAAGTTATAAATTGCGCAGGTATGAAAAGTCCAATAGAGCGGTTTTGGGCAGTTCAAGTACACATTTGCAGTGCACATTTCAATGTACGTTTTTACCATTTTTTTTTCAATCATGAAAAAAAATAAAAATAAAACTATTTTTTTTTCATTTTTTTTTGTTTTTCAATCATGAAAAGAAATAAAAAATAGTAAAACGTACATTGAAATGTGCACTGCAAATGTGTACGTGAACTGCCCAAAACCGCTCTATTGGATTTTTCATACCTACGCAATTTATAACTTGAAAACGGTAAGTAATACAAAAAAATTGTTTATACAAAAGTTGTTGGTAATTATGTACGAAACAACTTTGCCATTTAAAGTTTTCCATTAAAATGATATTTTCAGGGTGAAAAAGTGAAAAAACACTTTTTTGAGACTTTAGCGCCACCTACAATGAGCATTTTTTGTTGTACGAGATTGCAACAATGACATAAATTGTAGCACTCAACGCCCTCTACAATTATGGTCGAAAAAAAAGTTTCTAAAATGCATACAAAAAAAAGAAAAATGCGTTTCAAAAAATTTTTGACAGTTTTTTTGAGTTTTTCAAAAAACGCCTACGAGTTGAACATGCCCATCGCCAAGGTGGCTTACTGACGTCATTTGGCAACAGAAAAAACAAGACTTACCCTTTAGGTTTTTTTTTCACTCAAACGATATTTTTTTCGACAGATTGACTGTACTAAACAGGAGCGACTAACCGATGTGATCTATCTATTTTTATTTAAGGTTTCTGACACATTCTTCAAGGTGCTTAGGAAGAAAGTTGTGTCATACTAAAACTATGGTGTGGTTTCATGAAACCACGATGCAAGTGAAACTTATAAAAGTTTTACAGCGCTTCAATTTTTTTGGAAACGTAGGCATTTAACTGAATTTTCTCGGAAAATTATTCAAGTTGATGTTATTCCGGCTTATAAAAGTGGAAAATGAAAAAAGTCTTTGCTCGCTTAGGAATCGAACCCGGGTCGACCGCGTATCAGGCAAGTATTCTACTACTGAACCACCGATGCTTGATAATAGAGTCTATTTTTTTAATAAGAATAGGGTATTCGACAGTATTAAAAATAAAGTGCCAGTTGTTAGACTCTGTGTTTAGAATGAATATTTTTTAGGGTTTTTACTATTTTTACAAAAAAAATATCACGATGACACGAAACAGATAATAGTTTTCTTATCTATTGTTACGTGACCCAAATCGCTTGGGATTGGCGGAGCTTAAAAGGACGTCACACGCAAGTAAACTTACGGTTAAAGTGACAGTACATTGTATCGTTTGACGTTACACTTAATGCATATTTCATCGATATGTATTTAATTAAATAAAAATGACTATAGACAACATATTATATTATACCATATGAATCTCCACAATGCAAGAGGAGCGTAAAAGAAACATTCCTTACAGAATGAGCTTTCTGATAAACTTTCACACATGCTTAGACAGCAAAATACCATCAACGGCAACGTTCAATATTGGAGGCTATGTGTTTTGCAAATTGTGTTTATAGAAAGCGTATTTTTGTGTGTAACCCTGGAATTTGGCATACCTACTTACTTCCGTTGGTGTTCGCTATAATTACGATAAATAAGACACTTTACCATTCAATTATCTTTACATAGCAGCGATCTCAACATACAATTTGATTGAAAATTTTCTGATTGTTTGTAACGTAAGTAGGAGTTACTACTTATTACGAGTTCAAATTACAAATACCATTCGTGTAGGTATCTACTTAAGTAAGAAATGTTTACGACATAGCGTTCACAAAGAACTTAGATGTGTTAACTATAGTAGGTACACAATACCTTTTGAAGTTTTCCTGTTTAGCGAAATGGTTCGAAGACAATATTTGATATTTCCGCTGTTTTTAATATTTCCAATATTAATTTTGATGTCTATGACTATGGGGTGGAGTAGGTATTTTATTATTTTCATGTGCTTTTGGCGTGACTGTGGATTACTGCATCTACGTCTTTTCCAAGTAGAATTGTGGAGGGTTTTTTTATAGCCAGGTAGGCAAATGACTCTACCCCAGCTAAATGTTAAGTGATGATAAATTCCAAACGCGAAGATAGCTGATACAGCAGTTATAAACTGCTACACCACCTCACCTTGCCGGCCTGCAAAAATGCTTCTTCACGCCTCTCTTCAAGGACCCCAGATTGTAGGAAGGATTGAAAGGAGGATACATGCGCGGGCAAAGAATTCCACTTACGAATAGCACGACAAAGAAATGAGTCACCTTTGCCATTGGTTGCCATCCATTTCGCATAGAATTCTGCTGGGCAAACGGAGCAGTAATCCTCAGATATAAATTTGACTGCTTTAATCTCCTTGTCGTTCTTCCACGCCGATATTGCTGCACCGACTTTTCCGTTTATTCTACTACCATCTTATATTTGGAGGTTTGATGATTGTTTAGGTGTTTCTAATTTGGACTTTTCTAGGAACACGTTCTAAATGCTGTTGTTTGATGAATGATGTGGAAGAGTAGAATTTGGAAGCTGTCTTTCTATTTCTCGACCTGGTAGCACTGAAATACAATACCGTTCACGTTTAGCTATATATACGGTTAAGGCCTCTCGTAAATCTAGTGGCAATAACCCTGTAAGGATCAGAGCGGAGTACAGCGATGTAGTCCGGTAGGTCTTTAATTGCTTGTGAGTGCTGATTTTATCCGCTGCTGGTCACACACACTTGTCACATACAAAATTGTAGGCTCAATCACCAGCCTTATAAATAGTTCATGTCACTTCGAGGTTAAAGCCTTGTGTAGTTTTCGTCATTCTCGATAGATACCCATATATATTTGCGGATTTCTTGCAGATATTGGCTACGTGAGTAATGAAAGTCAGCTTCACATCAACAGTAATGTTTTTGAATTCATTTACTGAATTTATTAGTTCTCCTTTGTAAAATACTCCAACGCATTTAACACCGTTGACTTTGACATTTTACTTGGCATATTACGTTCCATTAACATATCTCCAGCAGTGATTGACTGGTTTCGTAGTTACCTGTCTGGTCGCCGACAGCGAATTCGCATTGAGGATTTATTTTCCTCCTGGTGTGATATTTCTGCTGGTGTGCCGCAGGGTGGCGTTTTATCTCCATTACTTTTTGCTATATTTATCAATTCCATTTCATCCAAACTAGTTTCATCCTATCACCTTTATGCAGATGATTTGCAAATCTATTATCATGCTTCACCTGATCAACTATTCTCTGCAATTACCACAGTCAACCGCGATCTGGAACTTATTTGTGAATGGAGCAAGTCTTACGGCATAAAAGTCAATCCGCTGAAGACTCAGGTTATTTTAATTGGCAGCCCCGCAATGACCAATAAAATCGACTGGGCACGTTTACCAACGATTAAATTCGATGGTAATACTTTGTCACCTAGTAACCAAGTAAAAATTTGGGGGTTATAATAGACAAAAACCTTACTTGGGCATCTCAAGTACAGGAAGCAAGCCGTAAAATGTTTGCTGCAGCTGGTTCCTTGAAAAGGTTACGTAATTTTCTTCCAATTGCTACTAAAACTGCGCTTGCAGAATCTCTTCTCCTACCAATCTTGGACTATGCCGATGTCAGCTATCTAGACCTAATCGAGGAGCAACTGAATAAACTTGAGCGGCTTCAAAATTTTTGTATTAGGTTCATATTTGGCTTGCGCAAATATGATCATGTATCCGATTTCCGCACTAAGCTCAAGTGGTTGCCAATTCGCCTTCGCCGGAACATGCATATCCTTTCCCTTCTTTACAGTATATTGTTTAATCCCTTTACTCCATATTATCTCAAGGCCCGTTTTAATTTCCTGCATGATACACATGCTCGTGTTTTGAGATCGTCAGAAAACTTAACACTCGAGATGCAAATGCACTCCACGAAATTTATGGACAAGTCATTTGTAGTTCAGGCTGCTCGTTTGTGGAATGCCTTGCCAGAAGCAATCAGAGGTGCTAAAACATTAGCTTGTTTTAAAAGAATGTTAAAAGAACATTACTTGACATTTTAGCAGGTCGTCACATCATCCAAAATATGATTGAAGTGTTAGTGTCTTTATAAATAGATGTATTGTGTTTATGTATTTGTATTTTATTTTATTTTTTGTTGTACATAATTATTTATAAGTGTTATTAATGATAGTTGCACTTTGAATGACACCATCTACTTCCCACTCTTTATGTAACAGTCCAGTTAACATACGGTTGCCTGGAAGAAATTGCTTCTAAGCGATAAGGCCGCCGTTTGTACTATTATGTAATAGTTTTAATTAATTGTAATTTAAAAAATCATGGTGTACAATAAAGTGATCATTCATTCATTCATTCATTCAATACTGGGATGTTCAATATAAGTTTTTAACGGTAGCACTTGCCAAGGCAAAGATCAGTTTAGCTACACCGCGTTGGGTTAGGCTCGCTTAACGTGTATTGGCGGCTTTTCAGTGCTTACTTTGAGGCTGAGGCTAATTTGTATGAGTGCACAATAAATATTAAAAAATATTTATTTTATCCACACGGTTTGGGCAAAGGCCTTCACTGTATACGGGAAAAGGATAAAGAGCCGGACGACGGGGGCCCAATCTGGATTAGTGGATATAACTAATAATGACTGCATATGTAATGCAGTGTATGCAATCCCAGTCTGAACGCACTAACCACTATTCCATCGAGCTCCTCCCATCGAAACAAACATCATTTCAACATCTACTTAAATGTATAAAAAAAAATACTACCGTCCATAATTTAAATTTGCGATAACTCATCAATTATTTATTAAGTGCATAGGTACTTAGTTGAGGCCTTCGACTAAACAATCGTTGGGAATTTTTAGTGCCCGTTATATTGGTACCTATCGTAATGTAACGCCCACACATTATTGTTACGCAACGGAAGGAGTTAGAAATATCCTGGACTACCTAATAATATTGGTAACAACTTTTTGTAATTGTCGTAAAGTTAAACCTGAACTAAAACCGATGCTGTCACTTCTGTTTGCTAAAAAGAAGATTAGATTAGATATAAACCAAGATTAAATTAAGTCCAAGTTTTGTTAAAGTTTAAAGAAGCGTGGTAGTTCCACCCGATCTTTTTGAGACCCGATCAGAAGTCAGAACGACGCGACGTCATGTTATTAGGTATCGTCACAGTTAGGGGCACGATATCAAAACCAAAAGTATCGATACCTATCTGTATCGAAAGAAAAGTAAGTATTTAACGAGTAAAAGTATCGCAATTCGCAACTGAAGTATCGTCGACGAGCATTTTGATTGCTGTGTCATACAATATTCCTAAATACAATACAAATAGTGTCGTGTAGTGTAATGTATAACAAGTACCTACAACAAGCCAACATTTCAATAGTAAAGTACAATTAGTATAGAGCAAAGTTATCTCAGCTGACAGCGCCCGTTCACGAGACAGTAGCCCTAGCACGAACCATTATCGAATTCGAATAGTTTGCGAATGCTAAATGTCAATTGTATGGAAACTTGAGCAGCAGCGCCGCAAAGTACTTAACGAGAACTAAAAATCAGTACACATTGACAATGACATTTCGGACTCGCAAACGTTAAGTATACGCATGGACCAGCCATCGCTTTGGTCATTCATATTTTAGGGAACCTGACTCACTCGAAACGACAACAGTCTTTCAATAGTTTTTAATTATATTGATAGAAATGGTATAATTAATCTAGATACCTACGTTATTTTATAGAACAACGTTAAAATCTGTCTATCAAATAAACAATTTGAATTTTGTAGTATCTACCGTTATCAAGTCACTCTGTTGGACCTCGTTCTCAGTCCTGCAGTTGGGATAGAAAAAGATGGTATGGACCTAAATAACAACACCTACAATTTTTTGTTGATAACAATTTATATATTCGACGTTGCGAAGATTTTTAGTAGTAAATGTTTGATTTTACGAAATTGTAAAACGAGTAGAGATCGTCTTATCTAGAAGTGATCGAAGCGTGCTGCAACGTTCATGTCTAGCTAGCCCCAGCGACTGATTGAATCAATCAGTGCCGTCTTTGACCTATTGGAGGCCCTGGGCATATTAGAATAATGGGAATAATGAACTAGGGACCCGAGCTAGGGACTTTGTATTTGATCTGAGGGGGCCCCTTATTGATCGGGGGCCCTGGGCACTTGCCCAAAGTGCCCACTGGGAAAGACGGGTCTGGAATCAATTGAACTGAATGACCAATGACTATAGCTAATTTGAGTGTGTTGCATCTGTACACTGATTGTGCATGTAAGCGAAATACAATGGAGGGGTTCAATTTTAGATTAGACGATATCTAACACCCTTCTTGTTCTAGATTGGTCTTCTGCGAGACGGGCAGTTGTTGGCTGAGGATTCTCCAGAAGAACTGCTGCGGAAGTTTGACTGCGACACCCTGGAGGACGCCTTCCTGAAGTTGGCGCTGCGCCAACACCAACTGCCGAGGCGGAGGTCCAGTAAGTTACCTCATTTTTAACCGACTTTAAAAAAGAGGAGGTTCTCAATTTGGTGGATAAATTGTTCGGTAGATAAACAATTCGGTAGAAAACTTATTGCTTTTTAAAATCTTTTAATTAACTTTGCAATGTATGTATGTATGTTTGGTCGGGTGGAAACTTGCAACTCAATTTTGAAGTTTCCAACGATTGAGCTGAAATGTTTTATACACATTTGGTTTTAATTACAACAGTCGGCGTTCTTAATTTAATATGGCGGACGGTCCGCGATGGCGGACTAAAGTATTTTTTGTAAACTCCCATGATATGCGCTTTTACGTCTATATCTAATTTGGGCTTTGCTATGGTGAACGCCTATCATCAGAAAACTGAATTATTGTTGCCGTTGTTAGTTTGCTAGCAGTCAAGGTTATGGCACTTATGACTAAAGGTACAATTAGGGTTGCAACGATATATCGGAATATCGATAATATCGAGACCAAAATATCGATATTTATATCGATATTTAAAATTCACTGATATCGATAATATCGATATCGGAAATTCCAAAATATCGATATTACGTAGACTAAATTTGAACACAATAATATCAATTGATTTACCTGCTATGACTATCTAAATTGAATAATATTGAAATAACTATTGCTTTGAAATCGCAAGAGCTTATAGATGGATTAAAAAAATCTTGAACCCCAAGAAATATACTAAACTGGTGTGGATTCTGGCATGATTCTCTAAACCTAAAATTAAATTTGACAATAGTGTATCCTTGTCATTCTTTTTATACAGAATGAAAAGGAGAGACTGATGTTAAATTTAGTTTTAAGTTTAGATAATCATGCCAGAATCGACACCAACGTATATAGGTATAATCGTATACCTAATGGTAACTTATGCCCCTAAATAAAATCCTTGCCTCTCTTTCTAGGTAATTGTCAGTAGGAGTATCAGTAGGATTAATTGAAATTTAATATTATTGTAATATAACACAAAATAAAATTAAGAATCTTATACAAATCGTAAATTTTTAAGCTCGCCAAGTCAAGAAAGTAAGATAGGTATAGTAATTTTGGAAGCTTTGGGCTTACCCTATTCTGAAGCCATGGGCACGCTCCTGATATGTGGGAGACTAAGCAATTTGCGTATTTGATGTGCGCTAAAAAACCGACATAGCTTGGAAAAGCACGAATGTAGCGAAGGCATTCGCAAATGTCGTCCCACATATGCGGGTTGGGGCATTCATGCTAACGTATGTGAGTGATCTGATCAGGATAATAATTTTATTTTTTTGGTTTCCTGTCGTGGCTGAAACCTGAAAAAATCCTGCTTGGCGCGATTTCATCAAGCGTGTTTAACGAAAAAGCTGGCTCAATGCATTTTCCGAGAAACTCGCCAACAAACATATGAATGTGTCACACTCACCCCGTATTCTAATGGCAATAAAAAATAAAAAGGAAAAAATATCGATAATATCGAGTTAAAATGGTCGATATATCGGATATCGATATTTTCCTGACTTCGATATAAATATCGATATAAATATCGATATTTCAAAAGACTTTGCATCCCTAGGTACAATACCGAAATATGCTGCAGGCGACACTGCGCCTAGCGTCTGCGGCTGACCGTGCATTATATGCATTGTGCAGCCGCGGCATGTCGCCGCGCACGGAATCAATTTCATAGATTCATAGAAACTAGTAGTGTCGCCTGCGGTCTGCAGCTGCGGCCTGTGGTCTGCGGTTCAGTTCGGACTTGTACCTTGATGGGTAACCTGTCGTCTAATGGGCTGTCTGAAGACTTTTCAGCTGCCATCGGTTTTTTATCATTCACGAAGTGAATTTACTGACGGCTGCATGAGCTTCAAATGGAGACTTAACAAAATATAAACATGAACCCTGACTACATTACACAATATTTTTGGGCAGTCGGCTAAAAATACATTTATTCCACCTTCTATACCAGTCCAATAACTCGTTTAATACATTTCGATGGTATATATTTGCAGCTCTGACAGCGTCCCCAGACGTGATAGCAGACACGGTGTCCACCGACGAGTGTTTCCAATCCAGAGAAGATTTCAACGTTGTCACGAGTAGTACTGATGTAAGTGTACCTATATTTTATTATTATCCGAAGTCGAAATAAATAAGTTTATAATTTAAAGAAAAGTTTACTAGAAAATATTCCATGCAGTCAGGCAGCAAACGTGACTCAAACCCGCACCCTCCGCTATCCGGTCAAATGCACTGACCTCTGCTGCAGATTCGGCTCGTCTGCTGCCTGGCTGCGTTTGTTTTTTTTTCTAATAACATTTTCTTTACATTTATATATCTAGCAGTTAAATGCTTAAAAAATCAAAATATAAGTATATTTTTTTTAGATTGAGTGCTTAGTGCTTGGAGTGTCATGGCACAATCTCCTTACGCCATCCATAGGGAAGGTCTGTGCCCCCACAGTGGGGAAAATAATGGGCTTTTCATAATTCTCACCCATCCTATCAATTAGGTAAGCTTTCGAGCGCAAAAATAATCAAAAATTTAAACAAATTTGAATTTATTCTTCAAAAAACTTAGCGTTTGTACATCGAAAGATGCGATTGCGACCCTTCCCACATAAAAAAAAACTTTCACACTTGTTTCAGGTACTGACTGCAAAGGAGAAATCAAAAGACTGTCGCGGTAGATCCAAGGGAAGATATAAAGCGGTATTTATCAAGAGTATACAACAGTTCTCCAGGCATCCTGGGTAAGGAAATTGGCATTTTATCCACCTTGGTCAGCGGCTTTAAACTTTTGTAGGGGTTCCTTGGTGGGCGATGGTGGTAGGTTCCTACCACGGATATAATTAGAAGGAGTAGCAAAATGAAAAGAGGTTTCGTGGTAAATATCTGCGCGCGAGCAGACGAAGTATAGATGCGTGCGTATGAGCGGCGTGAGCTCCGCGTCGTGGTCAGTTTATCACTGGCGATCTGCAAGTCTATCGATAGCTTGCATTCAATGGATCGCACAAAAAATAGAAAACAAAAGGATGCGCTAAGACTGCTCGTACAGCGCGGAAGCTATTAAGTTATGTAACTATTTAGTAGATAAGATATTGTTTATAATATATAATTATGTAATATGCTAATGTAAGTATTTTAGATGTAAGTTATTTATAAGTTTGTATTAGTTATGTAAGTTGTTATGTAATAAATAATTTTGTATGTGGTTTTGTATAAATAAATATAAATACTATACATGCCGCCACACTTTCAAAGACGATTGGTGAACTTATGTATTACTAGGACCTGTGTGCAACGACTGACCAATCTCATTCCTCTATAGGGAAGTAACCTCGACCTTAAAAAGAAAATGAAAAGTCCCTAACAATATCCAACAATTGAGCGTCAATTTAAGCTACTATTAAATAAGGAGAAAAAATAAGTCCAGCCACATTATTTTTCTTTGGCCACACGAATAAACTTCTTTTTTTTGTAACAAATGAGTTTACTTCTAATAAACTAATACATCTTTTTTACAACGCTAACTAAATATTTTAAAGAAAGCGACAAGTAAAGATCAACAATTGCTTTTACTTGTACTTCTAAATTATATATTGCCGCGTAATTTTATTTTTTAACTCAGCCACGGATTTTTCAACCTATCATCATTTTACGTTTTACAGTTTTAAAACAAGCTCCTCCATATCATTCAAGCTTCAGAAGGAAGCATCCTATATTATAACTTGGCATCATTTAGCGCGAGTGCGCGGGATGACAGCAACCGCCCATTTGCACCAATCAGAGAGCACCATTCGATTCATTAACCGAGGAGTTACCGCTCTCAAATAGAGTAGGAAGTACCCATCGGAAATCTTTTCTATCATAAATAGAAAAAGGCACTTGAATCCGTCCAAAAATAAATTTACGATCTGTACACTATAAATTCCACCACGGACGCTTACCCTACGAGCAACTGCTTTGTAGGTATAAACTTCCTACCCTTCAACAAAGACGACTTCATCTCAACTTGAAGTCTCATTATTGTATGACTTATGTCATAATAAATACCACTGATAGATAGAATATCTTACAGAGTTCCTACTAGATCACATTGTCGTACCCCACGTAGGTCTTTCTCATTGCCAAAATGTCGTTCAAATGCAGGCAAACGATCCCCCTTGTATCGGCTTGCCCAGACTTACAACGACAAATTGAATGGAATTGTCATTTTAGCGATACCAGTTACTGTGTTTAAAAGGAAAGTACTAGAAACTCTTAAACAATCAGAAATTGTGTTACAAAATATGTATTTACATATTTATGTATAATAGGCAATGAAGTAAATTAATAGTAAATTTAAGTTAAATGTTTACAGGCTCCCAATGCAATTACTGTTAGAAACTCTGTGGTAAATGTAGTGGATGATGCAATTAGTACACTGATAGTATTAGCTTATAATGTAACAAGATTGCATCATTGCTTGTTTACCCTAAATAAAGAGAAAAAAAATGGCATCCATTTTATCCCTAACAGGGTGACCAGAGAGACGTGCATCTTTGTCATCAAAATTTCCGGATTGAAAACGCTTAAACCAAATTTATGCTACTCTAACAGACACTGCACTAGGTCCATAAACATCACAAATATTTTTCGCGGCTTGTGCTGCATTTTTACCTTTTTTGTAGTAAAATTTAAAATTTCTTCAGTAGATTGACTCAGTTTGACAGTAAGAAAAGCAAATTAAAATTACACATTTTTATAATTTGAATTTGGAATTATTTTCTTTAAAATTTAAACTTTTTAATGATACTAAAAACAGCCAAATACAAATGGTATAGCCAAAGAGGTTTTATTACAATTTCAATCATACTATAATGCGAAAAAACTTTTTCCCTAACCTTATTATACAGAGATAGTTTGAGTCCCATGGAAGGACATATTATAGTTTAACAGTGTTTATCCCATAAATCCTTCCTTCGAGGGGGAATAATTGAAAAGGGGGAGGAAGTTAGTATGAGAAACCAATTATTCCACGCAGACGATGTAAATAAGGTGGTCGTTCCCCAGGGGCCTGGTGTTCTCCGTGCTGTTCCCGATCATCCAGATAGTGGCGTTCTTCTCGGCGGTGGGGCACGACCCGCGCGGGCTGCAGCTCGCGGTCGTTAACGAGGAGGCGGCTTCCTCACCACGTAAATATTATATCTATTCATTATCATCATCAGCCTATTAATGTCCCCATTGCTGGGGTTCACGCCTTCGAATGTGAATGTCATAGGGAGAATGCACGGCCGACGTCAGCGAGGAGGCGGCATCATCGCCACTTAAATATTATCTCACTTGTTGGTTTTAGGTGCAGATCAGCATCAGCAGCCTATTAATGTCCCCACTGCAGGGGCACAGGCCTTCTCTATGAATGGAATAGTTACTTCGTTTTGTATTTACCGAACTAATTTAAGCGGAATTCAACCTCTTTTTCCATTCCATTCATAGGGAAAGCGTTTATAGTTATAGCCTATATTCCCCTGAAGTGGGGACATTAAGCTATTCCAGAATTTTCATAAAATTAATATATTAAAAACCTATACATAAATTAATTTGATCTCAAAACGTTTGTAACGGATTAAAGGAGTTTGCCTTGATTTGAGTAAACTTCACTAGCTTTCATCAGTGTAATATTTTATACATATATACCGTACCTTTCATTTTTTCTTTTTGTCCTTTCAGTGGGTCTGGACATTTGCAAGAATAGCAGCCTGCAACCCATCACCAGGATAGAGGAAGATGATAGTTGCGAACAATACATGCTCAGTTGCTGGTTTCTAGAAGAGATGGAGAAGAAAGGACTGTATCAGGCAAGTAAAAGAACCTTTATTTCTTCGAACAACAATACCTAGGCTCAAGTGGGGGATAATTTAACAAGGGGCACAGGGCACAGTGTAACAAAAGTAATATTTCTGTAATATACCTCATGATTATACCCGATCATTTGACGTCAAATGACAGTTCCATAAGATAGCGGCTTAAGAAACTAATAAAACGTTACGATCGTTATAGTTTTATTCAGGTAAGTTATTATTAATAACTTCCTTGAATAAAACCACGTCAAGACAGACCAAAGAAAATTAAAAACAAAAAACGAGCGAGCCTTACAGTAGTCGCGTATGATGTGTAACATTTGAAACTTCACCTTATATTAGTAAAAAAAGAAATAAAACCTACTACAAAAGGAATAAGCCATTCGAACATTATGTTCTAAAATCAAATCAAATAGCGCGAACTTTCGCGACTTCCTGTTACACACTTCCGTCCCATTTCACGAAATCACTCCCACAAATTGTAGGAAAGCGAGAGGAAAGATGTTACACATCAAAAAGGCAGAGATATTCCTTATGTTATGTAGAGGGCAGTGTAACAAGGAGCACGGATCCTACACTTGACCCTACTCATATATAGTATTGCCAACACTACATATGAGTAGGGTTAAGTGGAGGTATTGGTGATTGAAGCTTTATTTATAAAACCGTAATATACCTCTTTATCATTAAGCAAATTATATTCACTGAAACAAGCAAGTGACATGCCATGACGAAAGCGAAACTTTTCTTGAACTGGGCGAAATTTTATCAAGATTTTATTTATCTTTTTATCGCCGTTGCCGTGACTAAAGTTATGTTCATAAAAAACTTACTTACTATTTAAATAACTAGTCTTTCTTCTTTTTTAACTGTTCTGAGCTGATAAATCAGCGGAACTTGCATGCGCAGGTATTCGCGAGTGTTCTTTTGATCTAAGAAGGAACTCGTACATATAACGTTTAGGATATAAGGGTGAATTTGCTCTGTTACATTTCTGAAATTCCCTTCGATGCGCTGCGACTTTGTACTAGTATGAATTGACAATTACTCTCCCCGCACGACGACAGTTTAAGCGATTTTAATTTCAAACAAAAATTGAGTAAAGTGAACTGAGTAATAGTCCGATGATTCTGTCGATGTAACAACGAAAGTATTTGTAACAATAATGTAGGTATAGTAATGTATTACAACCTTATTGCTACAGATTCCGTACAACACCTCAGAGGAAGCTAAGCATGCCGTGACTTCCGGGCGTTTTTACGGCGCGTTAAGATTCCACACAAACTTCAGTTCCTCCCTCGCCGCGAGACTTCGGGAAGGAGACATCCCCGACGATGTTCTGGAGCAGAGCAACGTCAACGTGTGGCTCGACCATAGCAGTCAGTCATCATCAGCCTATTAATGGAGAAATGATTAAATGATCCTCAAAAATATAATAAATGATCACCCAAAATATAGAATTGGTAACCTAAGGTTCAGGTTCAGGTAGGTTCTTTTTGACATGATAACGTCTTATAAATCGATGAACACCAGCTGGACGTATATAGAAGTGTGACGTCATGTCACGTTGTCACGAGTTAGTTCAACGTTCCGCGGTGTGTGAGGTGAGGTCGAGGGGTTCCTTCGACCCCCCTGACCACACTTATCGTTCTCACCACCCTTTTTTGTAATTATATTATTCCCTTATTGCAGTTAGAGGTTGAAGTCTAATTGTTTACTTATTAAATAGTTTTACTACATGAGTCTTACTTCCACTCTCGAGACCGCTTCGAGATGGGGCCAGGAGAGCAGAGGTAGGGTGGGGAGAAAAATAGTAGAAGATGGTTCAGAAGATAGACAAAAGGAAGTGAAAGTAACAAAAGTTAGGGAAAAAAGAATGGGGATAGCGGAAAAAACCTAAGTATTTTTTTTTTGAAAATAAAAGCAAATACATACTACTTTTATTAAATTTCGACGCTATTGACTACATCGAAATTCAACAAGATGCATATTTAAATATTTGAAAATAATTATTATAATGATAAGGGGGTTTTGAGTAGAACACCTAAGGTTGGGTTAGATTAGGTTACCAATTTTTTTTTCAAGGATCATTTTTTTTGATGATCATTTGAATTTATATGTACCAATTTCTCCACTGCCGGGGCCTCTTATAGTAGGGGAGCCCAAGCGGGGATTTGGGGATTACCTCGAATGCGGCAGTATAATATAAGGGAGCAACCTTGCACCTTGTGAAGTACTTACTCCCACCATACCTGAGCCCTTTATAATAAGTTCTAATATCTAGGGCATCAAAAAAGTAACAACAGACGGCCACGGCTTTTGGTCGCGTCCAAATCGTTAGTATTTTAAATAGGTGCTACTGGAAGGTTCGCGTAACAAAACTTCCCAATGTCTGACGGGCTCGAATAATTGTTCTTCTGTTTTCTACCCCTTCGTACGGCCACCACCATACCGTGCAAACCGGCAGATGAATACTTTTCCGTCATCGGAAACGTTACAGGGTTTCTCCTCCAGTTCGAAAGACTGACGATTTGGACACGACAAAAAGTCACGGCCATTTTTTTTGCTGCCCTTGATGTCGGTTATTAAGGGGTCGGATATGGTGGAAGTACTTCTTAAGGTTAAGGCAAGGTTGCCCCCCTTATGTTATTCTGCCGCGCTCGAATAATTCCCCTCTGAGGCTTCCCTACTTTTTACCCATGGAGGGAATACGGAGATTGGTGTTAGTGGGGTGCTAACGACTCCAGATGCAGCCGGGACCAATAAAGAAGCAAAATGTAGTAATTTGTGGTCAGCCATCCGATGACCGGCCATTGCGAAAGTTGCTTTTGCTGAGCGAAAGTTTACCGAGGGGGCAGAGCGAAGTAATATTGGCTTCAGCCGAAGTGTGAAGTCGTCGCGAATGGTTGGCACTTACCTACTACGTAATACCCCCGAGTATTCGGATTTATAGAATACAAGTGACCCGCCCTCGCAACGGCATTCGCTTCAGTAAATACTATAAAGTTTTTGTTCTCAGGCATGTTTTATACAGTTAATCTTTTCTCTTGTCTCACTCTAAATATTGCTGACAACTGCATTAAAATCCGTTGCATAGTTTTGAGGTGCGTTTCCACAGAAGCGGAGTTATGCGGAGTGGATCTGAGCGAAGCCGTGTAAGTAAATAGGCAAATGTTTTCATTGAAGCTGTGCGAAGATGATCCGTGCAGAAACAGTAAAGATGAGATGAGCGGAGCTATGAATACATTTTATTTACGGTGACAAACAATTGAATAAAGCAACGCGTATGTTAACACTTAAATAAAGATCTCAATAACTGTTAATCACACCAACTTGAACAGAATTAAAGTTGGTCACTAAACAAATCAAAACGCTCTGCTCTACCCAGCTTAACCCTGCACGCTATAACATTTACCCTTTATTAATAAACAGAGAATAAGCTCAGACTAGTTACGCCTCGTATTTTGTTCATATCATTCAAATGCTATTTGTCATTCAATGAACAGAGATTTAACATGGGGTAACTAATCCAAGCTTGGTTTTCGTTTATTAATAAGGGGTTTAATGTTATTCATCTCACTCCGCTGATACTGTTTCCATTGAAGCGGAGCAGAGATGAGATGTGTGTTTTGAGCAATGCCACTTGGTATTTTTTTCAAGACTGCTCAGCTCTGCTTATGTGGAAACGCAGCCTAAAATATATAAGCGTACAATAGCGGGAGCGACTTTGCTCTACACAATGTAAATATATGCATAGCGAATTTCAAGGCCTGTCTTAAGATATTTTCCAATTAGAATATTCACCACCTAAGGTCAGACCATAAGGTCAATCATAACTTATTTGAATTATAATAGGTACCGACTTACTCACCTATTGTTTTCCTTTTGTAATTACAGATCACCAAATCAGAAATTTCATAAAGAGTCAACTATACAAGATTTATAGTGCCTTCACAAAAAGATCCATGAAAGCTTGTGGGCGACACGAAGATCTGGCTCAGGTACGTGAGCAAATAAAACAATTCAAAACTTACCTCAACAAGCTTTTTTAAATAGTGGTCATCATTAGCCTATTAATGCCCCCCCCCCCCCCTCTCTCCTCCCACTGTTGGAGGATAGAATAGGGATCTTGAGACACGGGCCCAGTGCGGATTGGTAGTTGTTTACGTATGCAGATGCAGCCAGGACCAACGGTTTAAAGTGCCTTCTGAGCACGAAGGAGCTCGAGATAATAAATATTCGGTCGTCCATCCGATTACCGGCGATTGTGTAAGTTAATTGAAAAACTTATGTTACACAGATGCCAGTACGCTTCGAAGAGCCAATCTATGGGAAAATGGAGGCGCAGATGATGTGGTTCATGGCACCAGGGATTATGATCACGTAAGAAAAATTTACATTCGCATTTTAATGACAAAAAAAACAAATAATGTTATTACTAAAGACGAGGTCGTACGGGCTATGGTTTATTTTGCCTTCACAGTATAAGAATTTAAATATGTGTAAACATTTCCTATACCAAAATTGATACAATATTCGGAATGGGTAGTTGAATCTACCGATGACTACGAAAGATGAAATGAGTTCCACATTGACGCGGTCGTTGAACTTACTTTACCCGACTGCGACGCGTGCGACCGACGCGCAGAGAGGTTATTGTTTCTATTTTCTTGCTTGGCTACATACGAAGTCAATAACCTCCGTGGTCTGAGTAGTATGCCACCGGACACCAGTTTTCAAGCGTAGAGAAAGTAATCATTTTCAAGGTGAATTTCATTTCCTGGGTTCGAACGTTTGTATTATAATAAATACGAGCAGTTTGTATATAAGGCAAAGAATAATTTCATATAATTCTAGAAAAATATAAATATAAAGAAAAGTTTTACTAGCAAAAAATCCACGCGGGCCAGGCAGCGGACGGGACTCGATCCCGCACCATTCGCAATCCGGGCGAATGCACTGACCAATTATGCTACCATGATGGTCGCGTCGAAATTTTCCTAGCCTTAAGCTGCAAGGCAGCGCCATCTCTTCGCATTGTAGGTAACCCACAATGTCAAATGAATATTTTTTCAAGTATTAAACATTTGAAAGAAGAGATAGCAATTAAAGTTATGTCTGACCAATTCTGCTACCACGGCCCTGATGGCCGCGTCGAAATTTTCCTAGCCTTAAGCTGCAAGGCAGCGCCATCTCTTCGCATTGTAGGTAACCTACAATGTCAAATGAATACTTTTTCAAGTATTAAACATTTGAAAGAAGAAATAGCAATTATAGTTATGTGCATTCAGTGCATTCGCCCGGATTGCGAAGAGTGCAGGTTCGAGTCCCGTCCGCTGCCTGGACCGCGTGGATTTTTTTTCTAGTAAAACTTTTCTTTTAGATTTAAACATCTAGCAGTTAAATTCTTAAAAAAATAAAACAAATATATCTATATTACATTACGTACTAGCGACCGACCGTGACTTTGGCCGCGTTTACTTTGGTTTTTTGAGACTCCCACAGGAATCTAACATATAACCGGGATAAAAAGTATTCTGTCTCAATCCAGGTCACAAATTACATGCTTACAAAATTTCAGCCAAATCTGTTCAGTAGTTTTTGCATGTGAGTAACAAATATACAAACTTTCCCATTCATAATATTAGTAGAAAAGTAGAATTTCTATCCGTTTTCCTGTGGTTGTCCCGCGGGTATAGCCACCGGAGGCAAATGGGAATGATGTCATTGCCCCCACTTCAGTCTTTTTGTTCCCCTTTTGCCCCCGTTGCGTTGACAATTTCAGCAGGGGCCTTTATTCCCAGACCCGCGAACCAGATTCCCGCAGGGGCGGGGATGGGCACCGGAGGAAAATGGGAATAAAAAAACTGAAGTAGGGGCAATGACTTTATTCCCATTTGCCTCCGTTGGCAATACCCGCGGGGGCGACTGGGAATATAGGCATAACACAAGCCTTACAGCGCTTAATTTGGGACTATTTTGAAATGGAAAATTATTATATTTTTATTTTAAGCATTTAACTGTCTAGCTAGATGTTAAAATCAAAAGAAACTCGGTTCTAATCCCGTCTGAAACATGAAGCGATGAAGGATTTTTTACAGTGTATAAATTTTCTTAATTTTAAATTATATATTTTTAGGATAATCTTCTTCTTGCCTGCGGTGGTGACTTCCACACTTATGATCGGTGACCGCCTCGAAGGTGTGTGGGAAAGAAGTGCCGTAGCAGGAGTCAAGCCGAAAGAAATGCTCAACGTACACATAGCGCTGCAAGCTGCGGTAATATTGTTGCAGGTGAGAGAGATTTAAAGTTTGCCACGTTTTAGAAGGAGACTGCTTCGATTTCAGCTTTGTACAAGTAAAGAGTTAGCCTTTACTCTAATAAAAAGAAATTCTATATAAAAATCTCGGTACCTATTCGGGTAATATCGGTAATCACAATCAGGTTTTGAAAATCTCGATAGCATATTGGTTAGCGCGCTAGCTGTGCTCGTGAGAACAAGAGTTAGAAATGATTGGCATGTTAGTGATGATTCCATAGTGCGCTTGGAGCCTCGAGTTGGACGAAATGAGCGGGGAGAAGCCCTCATATATCTTCGTTGCTATTCCCCGTGGCAAGACAGGCGTCACACCTTTTCCAGATGAAATTGGTGTGTTAATAATATTTATTCATTGTTAGACGAGGCGGAAGTGATGGCCCTCGTATTCGCTGGGTACGGGCTAGCGTCGAAGGGATCACTGCCCGCGTGCACCCTGCTGCTGTTCCTGCAGGGTGTGTGCGGGATGTGCTGCATCTTACTACTGTAAGCCGTAGCACATATACTGCTCATAAAGAACGGGATAATCGAACTTCGAGCGGAACAATCCTTGTGATATTACGTCTCTTAAAAAAATAGTTCTTAAAGCGCAACGGGTTGGGCCTGGATTTCGAATGTTTAAAAAGTACATATGTACAATGAGAAAGCTTATTAAAACAGTGTAATGGTGTTAAGTTGTTTTTTTGGCCTGGACTTGATCATCTTTGGTGTGATGTGACTAAGAAATATTTATTTTTTCATTGTTAGACGGCGGAAATGATGGCCCTCGCATTCGCTGGGTACGGACTGCCCTCGAAGGGGTCACTGGCCGCGTGCGCCCTGCTGCTGTTCCTGCAAGGCTTGTGCGGGATGTGCTACGGTTTCCTACTGTCCATATACTGCTCTAGTTACACGATGTCTTTCTTCGTCGTCACTGGCAGCTTCTACCCGATGATCTTGCTCTGCGGTGAGTCCGTTTACTTTGTTTCCATTGCAATCCTTTAAGTATATGTACTATCGCGGAATTTTGCGCTCTGTCACTTGGCGAACAAAATGCTTTAAACGGCTTTTTACAGTAGTTTTTACTACGCCCCGCCTTCGCGTCGGACGCGCCAATCCGGGCCGCCGCACAAAAGTAAGACAGAGAGCATTTCATTGATTGAATAATGAATTGAATTGCATTTGTTTTAATTGCAATTTGTCATCCGCATCGTGATCGCGACAGCGCTATACGAAAAAGTAAGACAGCGATAATTACATGTCTATGAATGAATTTTTACTACGCCGCTACCGCAAGCGATTATGGCATTATGTGTGACAGAGCGGGTGTTTCCGCGAGTGTACATAAACTGCTACCTACCAAGGTATCGTAAAGTGAATTGCTGTGAATGTGCTGCATTCATTTTTTTTTAAGGTGGTCATGAATAAAAATGTTCCATTAATTCCTGCTTATACCTTATAGGATAGGAAAAATAAATTATAGTTACACAAGTTGGTTATTTAACATTCAAACAAACAAGAGACGAATTGGAATGATCGAGTTATGTAGGTACACATATAATTTATCTATCTTACAGACGACCTAAGCGAAATTATTACACTAGCTAGTAGAAATAGCTAGCGAGCTCAATGGAGAAATGGTTAGCGCGTCGGTATGCGATTGTGGAGGTTACGCTACTTTAACAATGACGGTAATATGATTGGTGACCGGATAGTCACTTTCTGGAGCTCCATTGTGGTTGGGAAGGCACTTTAAGCAGTTAGTCCCGGCTTCACTGCAGTTGTTAGCACCCACCAATTGGCACTAAAACCGCGTGGAGGGTGATGGCTCATTCTTTCTATTCCATCCATAGGTAAAACTTATGCCCCAAGAGTGGACACTGATGATGGTTCTATACTCTGTAGGAATTAAGGTTTCCAAGGCAGCGCCATGACATTAGAGTACTGCTATGGTATCGCAAGCGTCTTAGAAGGCCAATTTTTTTACATGGATTATTTTTCTGTGGTTTTTTACGTTACTCCTACCCACTTATGTATAAACGAGGACTACGCTTGGATAAGTTACTCCATGTTCTGTCTCTGTTTATTAAACAACAAATGGCATTTGAGTGACATGAACAAAACACGGCATAACTAGTCTCAACTTGTTCCATGTTTATTAATTCAAAGGGGGCTCGTTTAGGACCCTTTTTATAGGCTCATTAGTCGCAAGAGTAAATGTCGTCAAGAATAATGTAAAAACAAATAAAAAATGTGCTTCATAACCGTTCATAGTGTTTTATAAAATGTTTTTCTTTTACCCGATACTGATCAGTATTATAGTCAAAGTTTTACTTCCTCAGGCATCCTCTGGCCTCTAGAAGGAATGTCAGCAGGGCTTCGCATCGTCGCCCTAACCCTTCCCTTCACGTTACCATCAAAATCTCTCCGAGACATCATGGAGCGAGGGGCCACCATCGCCGACCCGTCAGTCTACCACGGGTTCCTAGTCACTCTGGCGTGGACTGTTGTCACTCTAGCGTTATGTTTCTTAAGGCTCAAATTCAAGAAGACTTAACTTTTACACCGATATTAAAATAATTGCCATGGCAATACACCGCCGAACTTAATAACCGCGGAACAAAGTTTGACTTGTGTACCTCTACCTTAAGTATTTTTCCTATTTGTCTTTATTGTGTAAACAATTTTCACACAACTCTTAATTGCCCATTTCTTTTTAAAATACAATTAAGTAATTTCAAATTTTAATTACCGAAGAAGGTGGCATGGTACCCTTTAGAATAAGGAAATATTAAAAACGAAATCCTAAACTCCTAAATGTAACATTATTACTATCAATTTACATTTTGTATATTTAGCGCAGTCTATAGTAAGGGAAACTTTATTGTTATTATCATATTTTTCGGGTAGCTTGTATATAGCGATATAGATTTAATACATGTGTATAGTTTTTACTTTTTGCAATTTAATCAAACGCACACATATCAACAAAATTTACAGCATGACTTTTTATAAAAAAATAAACTTTATACCGAAAAAAGGGTCGATTTAAGATTCAAGTTATAACAGATTTTTGATGATAAGAATTGTCTAAACCTATATGTCTTTATTGACAGTATATTACTGTTAGTACATTGGACTTATAAAGAATTCTTGTAATGAAAAATTAGAAATAATACTTTGACTACATTAATATTATTGTCATGGACGCATTTAGCTATATTTTTAGTATTTTTAAGTATACCTTCGTTTACATTTTACAGTTTGCAAACTCCAACAACAAATTTGTTATCGTTATTATCCAGAAAGTTTGTGTGTTGTTAACTAACCAAATTAATTAAGAAGATATTGCCGTAATATAAAGCCTTGTGATACAAATTATGTGATTTGTATGGGTATTTATGAATAAAAAGGTTTTTTTTATTAGGATTTTTCTTGTAGTCTTACCCCTCATTTACACCAAGGTATAATACATTTTTTATTTATTTATTTAATCTTTATTGCCTTAGATATTACATGTATATAAAAAAAATGACTAAAACGTGTGATTTCATAGAGCTCGATCGTGGTTCACTCCGGTCGAACTTCAGTAGCGTCTCTAAGCACGCTCGCGCCCGAGCGCTAGAGCTCTGTGACGTCACAGACACCACGTGGCTAGCCGAAAACTCGTTTAGTAATTTGGTATGACCAAATGACTTTGTCAATATTTGTCGTAGAACAAAAATTTAACCACAGTATTTTATGGAATCCTTAGCTGTATAAATCTGCACTCTCAACTAAAATCGTTACGGATCCTCATTCAAATATGGGCTTTAGGTATTGCTATTTAGAAGTACTTTGCATTGGCACCTTAAATTAACAGACAGCTCACTTTCAGCGAGCTTACCGTCAATCTGACAGCGGTGGCTCGATAGTTGACGGCTCGCTTAGGCTCGAATTATATGCGTCCGCGCGACCGATCGGCCCGGCCGCTACACCACGACATCTCAAGTAATTGTGTGCAACGATTCATTTAAATAGTTGAAACGTGTTCAGTTGTATTGGTGCAAATGAAGCGGACGGGACGCTCTTTTGTAAAGTGACCATGTTTGATGCAGAAATATTTAAGCCTTCTATTTGGGATGTTAGAAGTGCTGATTATAAAAATAAGGAGTTAAAAATCTAATGACTGGAGCGAAATAGCTTCGTCAATGACACCGAATTGGTCGTCATTAAATGAACAAGAAAAACAAATTAAAGGTAAGAGATATATACTTTATTACTCGAGTTATTACTTAATTTGTGCCTAAATATATTTATCTTGCCATGGTAATCGACCTTCAGATGTCAAAAAGTAATTAGCAAATTTATCTCGTGCCTCCCGTGCTACTTGAGTCGTACCTGAACTCACCCTGTCTGCAGAAGGAATGACATTAGTAAGAGTATCTGAAAACCTATACCCATCACGTCTTCTAACGTAGTTATCAAGCACGCATGCAGTTTTTGTAATAAGAGTTGCGAATTTCGGCTCAACCATCATTGGTGTATGAAAAATCCTCCATTTGTTGGCTAGTATTCCGAATGAACATTCTATATATCGCCGAGCTCTACAAAGGCGGTAGTTTAATACTCTTTGTGCGTAACTCAATTTCTTTCCGAGATAAGGTCTCATAATATTTCTATGTAGTCCGAAAGCTTAGTCACCAACAATTATATAAGGCAGTGGTTCTCAAACTTTTTAAATGACGGAACCCTTTTGGGAAGCAAAATACTTGATGGAACCCTACAATAAAACAATTATTTTTATAAGTGTATTCTATATTAATCAGCATAATAAAAGTACAATGTATCCGTTACTAATTATTATTTACTTCACCACTTGGTAAGGACAATAATAGAAAACATTAAAAAAGAAAAAATCTAACTAGTGGGAGGTATGAAACTGTTTTTTATTTTTCATCAATTGCTTGATATCAGGTTTGATGGAAGAAAGTTGGAGTCTCATATCAGCTTCGGCGTCCAGTCTATTGCGATATTTTGTTTTCGTGGCTGCGTAGGTAGAGAATCCTGTTTCGCACAAATATGTAGTTGGGAACGGGAGAAGAATATCCAGAGCCATTTGGCCAAGCATTGCATATTCATCTTGGATTCTGCACCAAAAATCATTAAGAGGCGTCGTTTTGAACAATGACTCCATACTTGTGTCTGATGACATTTCTAAAAGAGATTCATATATCTCATTTGACATGTTTTCAGGCTTTTCCAAGTTGGGTAAAAAAGGATTATGAATCCAGGAGTTCACTTTAATTTTTGTATTGTGTTCTTCGGGAAAATACTTTTCAAAAGATGCGCGCATCGAACTGAGATATTGGACCAATTCTTCAAACACATTATCTTCAAACATTTCTGAGTCGTTTTCGCTAACAAACTCAGTGAGTAACGTAAAACTTTCTATTTCTTTCTTACCAATGCAAATGATCCAAAAATCTAATTTTCTTTTAAAAGTAGTTATTTTATTATAGGCCTGAAACACTGTTGTCTGTTTACCTTGCAATGATAAATTTAATTCGTTAAGTTTTTGAAAGATATCCGCCATAAAAGACAATCGGAACAACCAAGTTTTATCATACAAACGGTCCTTCAAATTAAAAGAAGTATCTGCTGAAAGAAACATTTGTAACTCGGCTCTAAGTTCAAATAGCCTTGTTAAAGTTTTTCCCCGAGACAGCCATCGCACTTCTGTATGGAGCAGCAGTGTTTTATGTTTGCTGCCATAATCTTCACACAATAATGAGAACAATCGGGATTGTAGTGGTCGTGATTTGATAAAATTAATTATTTTTACCGCTTCATCCATAACTAATTTTAGATTAGACGGCATTTGCTTCATCGCAAGTGCTTGTCTATGCAGAATACAATGACTGGAACTACAATTAGGCGCTTTATTTTTCATTCGTGACACTGCTCCTGCTGTTTTACCTGTCATCGCCTTGGCCCCATCTGTACAAATGTCAATGCAATTGTTCCAACTGAGATTATGTTCTTCAAAAAATATATTTATTTTATTAAAAATTTCTTCCCCGGTAGTGTTTGTAAGCAGCGATGAACACATAAGCATGTCTTCTTCAAAAGAACTTTTATATGGATATCTCACAATAACCAGCAGGATAGCCAAACCAGCGACATCAGTCGACTCGTCCATTTGCAAAGCGAATCGTGTATTTTGTAGACGTGTAACTAGTTCTTGTTTGACGTAGCTTGCCAGATCATGGATTCGTCGTGAAACAGTATCGTTTGATAGCGGAACAGTAGAAAGATGCTTTGCAGATTTTTCATCAAGCATACATTTTGTTATGTCTAATACACATGGTTTTATTAATTTCTCAGCGATAGTGTGCGCTTCACCTGCTTGTGCAATGCGATAGCTAACTAAGTATGATGCCTCCGTGGCCTTTTCGTTGGTAGTTTGTGTTACATGCATCATATTTTTTTGACTTTCTAATAACTGATCTTTTTTGCGAACAAAAAATTCTTTATTCTTGTCTTTAGTCTCGGGGTGTACGGTTTCTAAATGTCGACGCAATTTGGCAGGTGCCATGGAACTATTAGGAAGCAGTTTACTACAGAGCATGCAGAGAGGTGAGCCGTTGGAATCAACAAATCCGAAACTGATATAAGATTCATCATACTTCCTTTTTTTCGTCTTTGAAACCGTCGAGCTTGACGTCGTGGCACTCGTGGCATCATCTTCTGGATCGGTGATTGCTAAATTCTCCGCGCGCATTGCTTTTGAACATTCAGCGTCATTAGAAGATGTTGTTGGAACACGTTTAACACCTTTAAGCCAACGTTCCATTCTTCTTTATTTATAATGTTACAAGTCAGGATAGTGGGGTTTAAATAATGCACAATCGTTACTGCGTATAAGAGACTAAATTTAGAACCTACAGGGAAGAAATGTATAAAACTGAGACAACAGAATACAGCAGGCAGTAAAACAATGAACACCAGTTTCTCGCTAGCGAGCTTGTAAGTAGGTAGTAACTTATCGCTCCGAACGCTAATCATCAACTGACGACGCCAACGCGCGATCGCCGCTTTTATACTTAGTCCTAGACTCGATCTCAAATATTCTCGAAAATACTCGAGTCGGCACCTTTGATAAACAAAAAGCAAAAATAAAAACAGAAATTTAAAAATAGCGTTGTAAACAATATCGACTTTATCCTTTGAAGTTAGAGACGAAAGTCGCTAGTTGACAACTATAGCGTCTAATTCAGAGGCGGCTTTTATCAAAGAGACTGAGCGCTTACAAGTATACTACCCGCTCGTTTTAAGTTTGCCGCTGGCGATAGGTATGAGTGTATGACGTTCGAAATTTTTTATTTAATTGTAACAATAAAAATTGTGTACGTTAGATATTTGGGTAAAACTATGACACATTATAAGTTTTGTTGTCACGTGGGGGAGGGTACGCGCATTCCACAGACCGGCAAACTTAGAGCGAACGCGTTGTACAAGTATAAAATTGTTGAGACCAAACTTATGAGATATTGTACCAGCTAATGTAACACAAGCTTATACAAATACAAATAAATAAATAAATAACATTCATAGCGTTTTGTCTCCGCGCGGCCGCGGAGTCCGCACAGCCGCGGAGCGACCAGAGAGAGGTGTTTTGATTTTTTTATTTCTAAATTCTTGCGGAACCCCGACAGAGGTATCACGGAACCCTAGGGTTCCGCGGAACACACTTAGAGTATAGCTGATATAAGGTAACTAGCTGACCCAGGGAACTTCGTACCGCCATAAAAAAATAGGGGTTGGTGGTAGAAAGTTAAAAATTTAGGAATGTATGTATTTTTGTATGATGTATCATAAAAAAAATATCTAAAATTGAAAAAAAAAATTGGAGTGGATTACCCTTAACATTTAGGGGGATGAAAAATAGATTACATCCGATTCTCAGGCCTACTGAATATGCATATAAAATTTCACGAAAATCGGTCGAGCCGTTTCGGAGGAGTTTAACCACAAACACCGCGACACGAGAATTTTATATATTAGATTGACACTTGCTGTTATCGTTGAGAAGGGTTGAATCCATCGGAATGTTTAAAGAATTATTTTTCAATTTTTTCCCAATGTTACTCCTCCAAAAAATTTGGCAGTCTCCTTCTCTGCCATATGCAAGGGCGGATCCAGGCTACTGGGCTGGGTACAGATGGACCAAACCCAGGGGGATTTTATTTAAGTACTTTCAATATTTAATATACCACAACTATATGACCCCCCCCTGGCGCCAAAGCTGGATCCGCCCTTGGCCATATGCTCGACGTCAATTGACGTAAACAAGTAGTTTGCGTCACAAACTGCTAATAATACAATAGAAAAGTATAATGTTTATAGTTATAAAATAATGACCTACAATTTTTCGGATTCATAAGAC